AGGCATCCAGGCAAGCAGCAGCAGGTGGGGAAGTAGCAGGTTCTCCTGCAGTACACGGGGCTACAGCAGGCTGGCGGACAGCAGCTGGACCCACAGCAAGTTTGTCCACAGCCACTGGACCCACAGCAGCTGGGTTGACAGCAGCTGGAGACACAGCAGCTGGGCCGGCAGCAGGTGGTCCGACAGCAAGTGGGGTGGTAGCAGCAAGGCTGGCAGCAGCCGGATCCGCAGCAGGTGGACCCGCTGCCGCCTTGCCCACAGCCGCCCCCGCACCCACAGCAGCTGGGCTGGCAGCAGGTGGTCCGACAGCAGGTGATCTGACCGCAAGTTGGCGGGCAGTAGCAAGGCTGGCAGCAGCCGGACCCACAGCAGCTGGACCCGCTGCCGTCTTTTCCACAGCCCCCGCCGCACCCGCCGCAGCTGGGCTGGCAGCAGGTGGTCCTGCAGCAGGTGGTCCTGCAGCACGTAGGCCGGCAGCAAGGGGAGCAGCAGCACGAGTCTGTCATGGTGTCCCAGGTGGAGGGGGAGCTTCTGTTCAGAGGTGAGTTTCTCAGATTCTTTGTGTCCTCTTGTTGTGGTTCTTTTATGCACTAGAGCGCCAAGTTTGGACCAATTGGCATGACTTTCTTGTTGTTGTTTACATCGTTTGCCTAATAATTTAGGAATTGAAGAAGAGGAAGTTTTTTTCCGAATTTTATGAGTCTTTCGAAAATTAGTGCTTAACATTTTCTTCATTGAAAATAATTCATGGAAATATTTTCAGGTCAAAGAAGGTCATATCAGTAGCATTTTTCCTGTTACCACTATAATCTCATCATGTGATGTAGTTCCCCTTGGCCTGCATAATATTTGTGGGGTTAGAGCCGGGTTTCCTCTCTGGCATTTTTTCCTAGGCTTCATAGAGATTAAGAATATTCCTGAGGTGAAGGGTATGATGCTGGTATTTTCAGAGGAACACTTGAATCCCTGTGTGATACCAAGTTGGTGTCCCCAGAAAGCTGATTCCAGACTCCCACAGGCATCTCTTTCTCCTATCACCCTACCCCACCTGTGTATTCCAGTTCTGTCAAAGACTCTTGGGTGGATAATGCCTGGCATCATCTTTTTCATATGGCAGGGCAGACCCAATCAATGTGTAGGAACAGCAACAATGCACAGGGACTAAGTAGTCATCAGTTACTGTACTTCCTGTGTGACCATTAGTCTCACTCTACCCTGAAACAAGGTTTTTCTGGATATGGGACTTATTTGACAAAACTGGTGTAGTTTGCAAACCAGGATGAGTTGGTGAAATTAGACCTAACCTTGTTAATCAGGAGAGTGTGTGACCTTATATCATTGACAACACCTTTATAGTTTAATATATTTTTTGTATTTTTTCTTATTTGCTTTCATTTAACATGGGAATTGGATTAGAGAAGAGGATACCTGATTTTTTTTTTTTAGATCTAATGGGTTTAAATGTTTTTAGGTATACCATTCATTTAAAACATGTGCAAATTATTAATTTCCAGTTTGATAGATTATCACAAAATGAACACACCCCTGTTAATATAACCAGGAAAAGAAATAGAAATTAAATGCACTGTCTCCAAATTATACTTCTTTAGTTGTCCCCAAAGATTCCTAATCATTCTGTTGGCTTGTCACCTTGTAGGTTAATTTGGCTTTTTAAAACCTTCATATAAATGAAAGAATATAGAATTGGCTCTCTTTATGCAATGATTGAGAGATTACCAGTGTAAATACTTGTTTATTCATTGTCATTGCTGTTTATTTCTTTCACTGAATGGATATGACACAATTTATTTCTTGGCTGTCCTCTTGATAAACATGTAGGTATTTTGAAGTTTGGGACCATTAAAATAGTGCTTCTATGGATGTTGTTTTACATGTTGTTTAGTAAACACACATAAACTTTTCTTTGGACATATATCTAGGAGTAGATTGCTCACAGAATTGCTTGGTCAAAATATTTACCTCATTTCTATCTCACATGCAGTTCAACCCTTGGATTTTTCTGGAAATTTTTCTTATTTCCCTCCCATTATGGATGGGACAAGTTGAAGACAGATACCTCCTCTAAGAGACCACATTTCTCACTAGGAGAAGGAAGGGGAAAATGAAGGGGGAGAAATTGGAGGGGGAGATGACCCATGAGAGACTATAGACTCCGAGAAACAAACTGAGGGTTTTAGAGGGGAGGGGAGAGGGGGGATGGGTTAGCCTGGTGATGGGTATTAAGGAGGGCACATATGGCATGGAGCACTGGGTGTTATACGAAAACAATGAATCATGGAATGCTACATCAAAAACTAATGATGTACTCTATGGTGACTAACATAACATAATAAAATAAAATAAAATTTTTAAAAAAGACCACACTTCTCATATTTTCAACTTTTACCACAAAACACATTGAATCCATCATGCTTATTTTATTTTTAGTAGAGAGTAGTTTCTTTTCCCTTTCTTCCACCTGTGATAATCTGGTATTTTGTCTATTTTGTTTAATTCTGTGTCCCTGACTCAACATAAACTGTACTTCAAATTTAGAAATTATAAGCCTACAATTTTATTTTTTTAATTTAAATTCAATTAGCCAAGGTATAGTACATTATTAGTTTTTGATATAATCAATGATTCACTAGTTGAGTATATCACCCAGTGCTCATCATATCACATGCCCTTTTTAGTGCCCATCACCCAGTTACCCCATACCCCCACCCATCTTCCTTTCTGCAACCCTTAGTTTGTTTCCTGGAGTTAAGAGTCTTATATGGTTTGTCTCCCTATCTGATTTCTTCCCATTCAGTTTTATGCTAAGTGAAATAAGCCTCCATGTTTTCATTCTCCCTCCCAAAGTCTACATACTGTAGAGAAAGGATAACAATATGTGAAAACAATAGTCATTCATATGTCATTGACCATAAAATTTCTCCCCCTAGTCTTTTTGGTGGCATTATAAGTAAGCAAATGCTGAGGTTAACCTCACCAGATAAGGTGTTTTCTAGCAATGTAATGTTTTGCTATGGCCTACAGAACATGAACTTAAGGTTCTAGAACTGCCCTGGTAGACTACTGAGAATGGAGTCAAAAGGCTCAGAGAAATGTACCTGGTAGAATAGATTTATTTCTTATCAGAGAGCCCACAAACTGACCATATTCCCTGGAAGTTCCCAAAGGATATTCCTTCACAAAAGCAATAAATCATGTGCATCATTAAAAAGGATAGTGGTGGAAATTGTATATAATACTACCTTGAGGTTTATTGCCTACTTGAAAAAATCGAATCCTTGTCTAGGACATTTGGTTATCAGTACAGCTACTTTATCCTTTTAGATTTCTATTTTTGTTTCAGAAGAACTGAATATTCATTATGGATTCTTATTATTTGCAAGCCAGAGAGTCCTTGTAGGGTTACTTCCTAGTCCACTTCAGCCTGTGGAAAGCTCAACTTTGCTACATCCTTACTTCAGGTGGAAGGAATAAAGGCAATAAAAAAAGAAAGGAAAATAAAAAAATAAAAAAATAAAAAAATAAATGATAGTGGTGGTAATCCTCTGTGGCCAGGGTTGATGGTATAAGATAATGATAGAGAACTGGGAAATGGGGTATGGCAGGAGAGCAGAGTTGAGGTACATATAATTACCAAAATAGGAAGAAATGTCAACCAGTGGGCCTTGACTCACAGAGATCTGACCAATAGACTATAGCTTCCTTAAAGGTGAGGTAATTATGCATCCAACAAATGTAGGATACCTGATTTACCATGGCAGTGCTATAAACATTGGAAAAGATTCAAGAACAGTGAATAAGAGGCTGATGTCAGCCACTTAAATAGAAAATTATGGCCTCCCATTCAGTTTCCTGACCTGAGTCAGTTCTCAACCTAGAACCCTTCAAATAAAGGAGAGGTTTAGTCTACTTGAGAAAGATCCTGCAACAGTGAAATGTGTGTGTGTATGTGTGTGTGTGTGTATGTGTGTGTGTGTGTGTAGCATATTTCCCCCCAATCCTTCCACAAAGGATTTATAATTGTATGCCAGAGTAACTACACACTAGGGAAAGGTGAAAACCCAGATATTTCTAAAGGTATTGAATGCAGAGTTTGTGCTGACAGATACCAGGAGTCCTTCTATTAGAGTGCATACATATGGAGGCCAAGTAATAAATGGAGTCCTGGCTCATGTCCATCTCATGAGAGTGTAATTGGTATTAAGATCTACTTTATACTCATTTCCCTGCTACTTACATGAGTAAGTAGTGAGTGGCAGAGTCCTTCCATTGTGTGTCAGTTGGGTCCTCTGGGAATCAAACACTGAAACAGTGTTAAGAATGTAAGATGTTTACTGGGGAGTAATGCCAATGAAAGATTTAAAAAAGAGGAAAAGGAAAGGGGGATTAGGCAGCAAAAACCTACAGACTGCAATGTAAGTATGACATCTTTCCCAAAAAAAAGTGTGAAATAGACAGCATTAGGCAAGGAGGATATAAGCCTGCCATGCAGGTCTGAAAAATCATTGGTTAACCCAATGGAGATATTCAGAACAACGATGGCCATTAATAAGTTCCCATGTTGGGAAGAAAATGCTAGGCCCTAGTACTTTCATGGTGTGCAATTATGAGCCAGGGGTTTACAGGAAGAACCTGGCCTTAGCTCTAAAGCTGATGCAGATCCTGAAGTTGCTAATAGTTGGAACCTATCAACTACTGCCCTCTTTGCAGTAGAAGTGCATCTTGACATGCGAAGTGAGAGCCATAATAAAAACAAAGGCCAAATAAGAGCGCCTAAAAATTCCTCTCCTCCTGACCAATATATTAGCCAGAAGCTATAGCAATGAACAGCAGAGTTTAGTGAGCACTCAAAGACTTAAAGAATGCAGGGATGGTAGTTCCCAGCACAACTTCATTTGATTGCCAGGTTGGGCTCTGCAAAAACCTAGTGTATCATGGTATAGAATTATGGAATATCTTAAACTTATTGATAGACTTATTAACAGCTATTTTTGCTACAACATTTCAGTACCTTCTGAGTTTAAAGGCAGTGGAAATAAGAAATACCCCAATGAGCATAACCATGAGCAGTACACATGTCATAAGTTTCTTTTGTAGAAAAAGTGGCCTGTTCCATCCTAAAGCAAGAGAGGACACATTCTTCTCAAGTGAACATGGAACATTCTCCAGAATAGATCACATATTGGGTCACAAAGCAAGTCTCAACTGTTACCAAAAGATTGGGATTATTCTCTGCATATTTTCAGACCACAGTGCTTTGAAACTTGAACTCAATCACAGGAGGAAATTTGGAAGGAACTCAAATACTTGGAAGTTAAAGAGCATCCTACGAAAAACTGAATGGGTCAACCAGGAAATTAAAGAAGAACTTTAAAAATTCATGAGGGCGCCTGGGTGGCTCAGATGGTTAAGCGTCTGCCTTCGGCTCAGGTCATGATCCTGGGGTCCTGGGATCGACTCCCGCATTGGGCTCCCTGCTCCTTGGGAG